ATTCAGCAGGTTGTATTTATTCCATTGAAAACATTGCACAGGTGTTTCGTCCTCATGTGTGACTCTTCAACAGTTCGTAGCCATAACCCTGCCAGAGGTCGAACTCAAGACACTTAACTCTAGGATTCAATAATGTATATATTGACTGAAGAAAATTTCAGTGTAACTATCTGACTTCTTAGGGTATAACTTACTGCCATATTTAGAAATCATCAGCTCATTGTACCTTCCTGTCAGTGAGAAATATTGTTCCCAACCAAAAAGTATCATGATAATAGGCGTCCTTGCATGGTAACCACATTGCAAATATGACCGATAGAAGCAGGTCAACACTCAAGAGGACTGGACAACCTGTGACTAGATGCTTTCCACTGATCAATCAGTCTATTTAATCCAGTTCGACAGGAGGTCAATCTCAGTCCAAAGAGCTCAATGGTAACTCCGGTGACTGCAGGATCAGATGATGCGAGATAGAACCTAAGAAATGACATTAGTTCCCTCAAGACTGCATATATCTTGCTGACGAGTGTCAACAAGCACGAATTCTGAGACGAGTAGGGTTTCTTACCGATGAATATGTCTTTTTTTTCAGCCTCACTCTGACGTACAAATCGTTTTCATCCTTTCAGATCATACTGAAGATGCTAATCGGCTCTATTGGGAAGTTTAAGTATCACTGAAGTAAACACCTGACAAATAGTCACGAAGTCAGCTAGTGAAAAGAGTATAATGGTCACAATGGTAGCTGAAGTTGAATGTCACTGGAAAAGAAATTCGTTTCATTATTTACTGACGATACTGAGTGTTGACTGGATTTCTGTAAACAGTTTTCACTACCTCATGATTGGTCTACGTAAAGTAGTATGGAACTGGTGTTTTGATAGATTTATGTTCTCTGACGTAAATAGTTTGATGGTGAAGTTCTCTGTTATTCTAGACAACGCAATCAGCATAAACTTCACAAAGAAGTGAGCAATAGAGTTTTCTCCACAATTCATTTAGTAGGTCGTCTTGGTGGCCTTGTGTGTGATTGGTTGATTCCGCCAAGGTCTTGTCAGTGTCTCCACGTGTATTCTGATTGGTAATCTTGATCACCAGAAATTCGACCTTCTTGTTGTTTCTCATTGGTTGATACATTGAGCCAACGTCAATATATCTGTTGATTACTGACAGACCTGAATCCCAAGCTTCTAGATATTCTCTGACATTCTTTGTATTTCCTCTGTCCAGGATTACCACATTCTTCATCAGACAAATTCATCCCCACAGCTGTCTGTATGCATTGATATAAGCAAAGATATATCATGGTGCTTCATTATTAGTTCATGTTTATGTAGACGGATACCAAAAGGGTGACCAGTATGCTTGATAATGTGTTTTTCGCAGTTTCTACCATTCATTTTCTAAATAACGTTTGGTCCTCCGCTGAGATTGCATGCTTCAGCCTGCATAACAGAGAGTATACAGATTCCATGCTCTTGTGAGACACAGCGACTTCAAAATTAAGTAAGTGAGCAAATAAGTAGGTAAGTAAGTAAGTAGCTGAGTAAGTGTGTGCTGAAGCAAGTAAGTAAGTGAGTCAGTAAAGAAGTACGTAAGTAGTTGAGTAAGTATGTGAGAAGGTAAGTAAGTCGGCAGGTGAGTAAGTGAGCAAACAAGTAAGTAAGTGAGTGAGTGGGTGAGTGAGTGAGTGAGTGAGTGAGTGAGTAAGTAAGTAAGTAAGTAAGTAAGTAAGTAAGTAAGTAAGTAAGTAAGTAAGTAAGTAAGTAAGTAAGTAAGTAAGTAAGTAAGTAAGTAAGTAAGTAAGTAAGTAAGTAAGTAAGTAAGTAAGTAAGTAAGTAAGTAAGTAAGTAAGTAAGTAAGTAAGTAAGTAAGTAAGTAAGTAAGTAAGTAAGTAAGTAAGTAAGTAAGTAAGTAAGTAAGTAAGTAAGTAAGTAAGTAAGTAAGTAAGTAAGTAAGTAAGTAAGTAAGTAAGTAAGTAAGTAAGTAAGTAAGTAAGTAAGTAAGTAAGTAAGTAAGTAAGTAAGTAAGTAAGTAAGTAAGTAAGTAAGTAAGTAAGTAAGTAAGTAAGTAAGTAAGTAAGTAAGTAAGTAAGTAAGTAAGTAAGTAAGTAAGTAAGTAAGTAAGTAAGTAAGTAAGTAAGTAAGTAAGTAAGTAAGTAAGTAAGTAAGTAAGTAAGTAAGTAAGTAAGTAAGTAAGTAAGTAAGTAAGTAAGTAAGTAAGTAAGTAAGTAAGTAAGTAAGTAAGTAAGTAAGTAAGTAAGTAAGTAAGTAAGTAAGTAAGTAAGTAAGTAAGTAAGTAAGTAAGTAAGTAAGTAAGTAAGTAAGTAAGTAAGTAAGTAAGTAAGTAAGTAAGTAAGTAAGTAAGTAAGTAAGTAAGTAAGTAAGTAAGTAAGTAAGTAAGTAAGTAAGTAAGTAAGTAAGTAAGTAAGTAAGTAAGTAAGTAAGTAAGTAAGTAAGTAAGTAAGTAAGTAGGTAAGTAAGTAAGTAAGTAAGTAGGTAAGTAAGTAAGTAAGTAAGTAAGTAAGTAAGTAAGTAAGTAAGTAAGTAAGTAAGTAAGTAAGTAGGTAAGTAAGTAAGTAAGTAAGTAAGTAAGTAAGTAAGTAAGTAAGTAAGTAAGTAAGTAAGTAAGTAAGTAAGTAAGTAAGTAAGTAAGTAAGTAAGTAAGTAAGTAGGTAAGTAAGTAAGTAAGTAAGTAAGTAAGTAAGTACGTAAGTGAGTGAGTGAGTGAGTGAGTGAGTGAGTGAGTGAGTGAGTGAGTGAGTGAGTGAGTGAGTGAGTGAGTGAGTGAGTGAGTGAGTGAGTGAGTGAGTGAGTGAGTGAGTGAGTGAGTGAGTGAGTGAGTGAGTGAGTGAGTGAGTGAGTGAGTGAGTGAGTGAGTGAGTGAGTGAGTGAGTGAGTGAGTGAGTGAGTGAGTGAGTGAGTGAGTGAGTGAGTGAGTGAGTGAGTGAGTGAGTGAGTGAGTGAGTGAGTGAGTGAGTGAGTGAGTGAGTGAGTGAGTGAGTGAGTGAGTGAGTGAGTGAGTGAGTGAGTGAGTGAGTGAGTGAGTGAGTGAGTTCGTAATTAAGTAAATAGGCAAGTAAGGAAGGAAGGAAGGAATTATCTATGTATGTATGTATGTACTTAAGTAGTTGGGTATTTCAAAATATTTCTACAATGAAATTTAGTCCCTGATCTTCTTTCACAACAACAATTCTAATGGTGATAATAAAGTTTTCTTGAAATTCTTCACTGTAGATGACTATATCGCATATCTGAGAAGTCAAATCAGCCCTGATGGGTCAGTAACCGACAAAAAGTCAGCCCAGGCTTACGCCATCTATGGCACCCCCGTGATATTCCATTGTCTATTAGGCCTGATTATATGTGCCTCAGTCCACTCTCTTGTACTATACGGCCGTAAAACATCACTTCTTAACTTGAAGGACACGATGAGGCTTCAGGTGTTCGACCACTGCTGCCTTCGCAACACATAGGATGTCTCGCTACGCCACCAGGTCAGTAACGTAGAAGCCAGTTATGAAGTTCCGGGTAGAAGCGAAAAGTCAGTTGAGGAGGTTGAAAACTTTCATCGACCAAGGTGGCTGGGATGTCGACTACACAATCCTAGTCACTGTCTCCCCATTCATACAATATTAGCTGGAGTAGGTTTAAATCGAGTAAAGGTTAGAGGTCGCCAGGCTAAATCATAGTATCAGTTCATGAAATGTCTGAGTGCCGTGTAGGGAAATTAAGACTTCGTGTTTGGGATATGTGTGACTTCTGAAATCGGTGGTCTAGGGTTTAAGGTGATATGTCTCAGAATCGATTTCAGTGCCAAATTTCCTTTTTTTCATGACTTTCTGACACTTTCGACGGCTTTTTTGTTTATTTATTGACGTTTTTTACTTCCCGCATTCTGACTTCATGAACTTGCATGCTATATGACAACTTTATAGATAAGGATTTTTGACCTACTTTCACAGACTAGAATCTCAAATCGTAAGCTAACTGAATTTCACCCACTGTTAATCTCTTGACTAACTTCATCGAACTGAAGAAATATCATCACGATGAGATGAGAATGAGAGTACATGTGTCCGTATGTTTCATAATAAAAGTGAAAACAGGGAAACATTTATGTTCTCACATTCATAGTCACACCTATATACAAGACAGGTTCTAGGTAGCACCCACTAAATTACAGACCGGTTAGTTTGACTAGTACTGCGGTAAAAGTCTTAGGAAGAGTAGTCAAGAAAGCAGTCATAGTTCACTTAGAGAGCAACACTCTCGTTCGCATGACAGTTTTCACAGAAATTTTTCTTGCTTGATAAACCTCCTTACAGTCAGAAAACGTTGAGTTAAGCCTAAAGATGATAAGATACCTGTAGATATCATTTTTATAAACTTTAGTAAGGCGTTCGACAAGGTACCTCATTGCAGATTGCTCGAGAAACTGAAAAGTTTCTGAATCACTGGTAGTCTGCTTGTATGGATAAGAGACAGCGAGTAAGAAGCAACTCTCAGCTCTCCACTTGAAAGTCGGTAGAGAGTGGAGTGCCGCCAGGCATAACTCTGTGCCCCTGCTGTTTCTCCTATACGTAAATGAGCTGCCAAATCCCCTATGGTTATCTACGCTGATGATGTAAAAATCTGGCGCGAAATTAGGAACGATGAGGACATACATGCGCTTCAGGCAGACCTGAACAGCTTGTTTACCTGGTATGAGAAGTGGCTGATGCCTATCAATGAAGGTAAATGTGTGAGCATGCACTTGGGGCACACACACACAGCAACAGCTACGATGTTGATGGGTCTCCTTTACCGTGAGTACTGACCCACACTGACCTAGGAGTCACAGTTAGTTATGACTTGAAAATCACAACTTACTGTCGATTGCTAGCACCTCGGAGTTTTAGGACTCTCAGGGCGTTACGTAGAACGTTTATGAAAATAAGTGGTGACATGTTCGCCATCTTATACACATCCTTAGTTAGGTCTAAATTAGAAAACTGTACACAGGCACCAAATCCTTGTCTGAAAGATGATGCAGACCTCCTGGAAAGAGCTCAGAGAACAACCACTCGTATGATCCCTGAGATGGCTGGCCTCACCTATGAAGGTCGACATAAGGAGCTGAAACGCTTCTCTTTATCCTACAGCAGATAGACTATTATTATTTGTCCCTTGTGTTCCTAGTGGAAAATAAGACTTCAGTAGCACGTCACCACTTCACTCTCCTCTCTGCAGTCTTTTCAACCTCGCTGCACCACTGCCCAAAATCTTTCATTTCCTCCTCACATCATCTCCTCCATGTCACCTTGGCTCACGAGCCCAACTCGTCGTTTCCCCTTTGAGTTCCACTCGACGGCTTGGTCTGACGCCTGATGTCCCAAAACCCTCTTCTCAGTGTATGTCCAGTCCAGTCCAGTCCACTCCACACCAGTACATCTCCAATTTCTTCTAATCCCTATTTGTTGGACGACACATTCCCGGTTAGTTGGTTGGTTCGATACCAGCCAGCCAGCCAAAGTTCCTTCTTCCTTATTCTTGTTATTAAGGCCACTTACCCAATCTTCAATGTCAGTATCGAGTGAGTGTAGGCAGCAGGTGTTGATGATGTATGTCTGTAGTTTGTTGGAAATGCTTTCCATAACGCATCAAGTCTCCCAACCATCACATACAGCACTGATTTGACTGACATTAGTAGTGTTGAAAATCCGGATGTTGTTGACGCTTTGTGCTGAATGGAATGCAGTGCAATACAGTGTAGTGCAGTGCAGCGCAGTAGATCTGCACACTGATTTCAGATTGGTGAAGGTGTGTCTTGCTGTCTTTGCAATCCTGGCTCTGACATCCTCATCTGTGCCACCGCGTGTAGTTGAGACGATGCTGCTTGTCTAGGTGGTAGGTGGAAGAGACTACTTCTTTTACATTTCTCCCATTGATAATGATTGGTGCTTGGTGTTGTTGGTTGTTGTTGATTGGGTATCTTCATCACCTCTGTCTTCTCCACCTTCACCTGAAGGAAGTCCCATCTTCCTTCGCTGCCTCGCCTCACCTCGCCTCCTCTACCAACTTGTTAGTTTTCACCTGTAGATCTTTGAGTTTGTGCCACAAGACATTAGATATAAATCATCATCATCGACGAAATCCAAATCTCCTTCTGAGATCTTTTCATCTGTCCAGCCAGCATATGTGCATCTTCTTGCTTCTCATAGTTTTGTGTATGATCTAGTCCAGTCGAGTCGACCACAATGAGGAAGATCATCGGTGATGGATAGTAGGCAACCCTGTCTTACTCCTGTCTTCACTTCAAAGTCGTCACTCGCCCGAGATTTCCATTGTGAATCACTTGGTTAGTAGCATCATATGGCATATAGATAGTGTTGAATGAGATTGATAAATGGTTGTTGCACTCCGCAGTGTTGAAGCAGTTCCCAAATTACTTCACGGTCGACGCTGTCGAAGGCGTTTTCAAAGTTGATGAAGTTAAGGGGAGATCTAATCATGCTACACAGAATTCTAAAACATGACTTCCCACCTGATCTATCTTCTCTTTTCCTTTCCACTAGGTTGGGAAACCTCAAAGGACGTAGTAGGAGGCTACAAGAGCGAAGAACGAACATAGTCTCCACAGGGTACTGTTTCTTGTATCGAGTAATCAACGCCTAAAACTGACTCCCAGAAGAAGTGACGTCTGCATCAACGATTGCCTCGTTAGAAAGGGGACCGGAGTAGTATACAATTTGGCTGGAAAAGGATTGATATAAGCTAATAGCCTTCTATCCCTAAACAACAAATATGAATCTGAAAAAATTCCCTGATCAATCGTCTAACTCATCAGGCATCCACTAGGCCCGGTTTGATCTCTCTGATTACAAAGCAAATCCATAGTCGACAAATATGCCAGCATGGATAATTGTTCAATCACCTCAATTCGGATGAAATTCACGTCCTAATATTCCACTTCTAGTCACATCCAAGTCAATTATAACAAGAGGCTGGCACATGCTTATTCAATCGAGATTCTTATCTTTGGTATTCTTTGTTTCAATGTTCAAAATGTTAAAAAGCTGTAAACATGAGAAGTTTATTGACCATTACAGATATATTTTATTATTTGTGAAGAGGTCGTCTCCCACCAGCGTTTATCACTGTTTCACACTCCATTTATTTTTGAAGCCATTTAGGCACATGTTCTCCCACCCTCAACTGCATAACTCGATTACCCCTCCCTATGTATGTGTGACCACACACACACATGTAAATTGGTAAACACAATGGGATGTGATGTAATCACTGATGCAGTGTTTAGGTTTTTGGTGAAGCATGGTGTTTTGTTTTCTCCACAATGGTAAGATTCGCTGCGTAATACGTTTTCTTAATGGCTGATGTCAGCCTACGTCTCAAAATGATACTATTTAGCTCTCCTCTGTATGACAGAGTGATATGGATATTTTTCTTAAGGACCGTGTATAGAGTTGGCTTTGGTGCTACTTGACCTCTACAACGGTTTATAAACTTCATCGGATATCCATTTCCCATAAGTGCTTTGCTCAGTAATTTGATGTCTTCATCCATCGCATCTAGTGTACTGATACGAAAGATCCTAGTAAACAGGCATTTTATTAGACCTCGCTTGTATGGGATTGGACAAAACTGTGAAAACTTAGGTGTTGTCCTGTCCATGTAGGCCTTCTGTAAACTGACCGTCTTATTGAACCATCTTCTCGTCGACTGAGAAGTATATCTAGGAATGGCAGTTGATTACTATTCTCTGTCTCACAGGTCAGACTGATGTCAGTTTGTACGGTATTAAGTCTATTCAGTAGACAAACCATATCCTCATGCGTCTCACAAATCACTATGGTGTCATCAACATATCTGTTGTAAAGAGGAAGTTTAGCGATGAGATCACTAGCCAGATTTTCGATATGTGATATGTGATAAATATCAACTAGTAGTGGTCCTAGTGGACTAAGCATAGCTACACCGTCAACCTGTCGAAAGCGTTCGTTCACCTTCAAATATGAAGTGGACTTTGTCGGTACACAGTAATAATAACTCCTTCAGAAAGGTTGGAGTAATAGGAAATGGGAAGATTTTAGAGGATACATGGTGACAGAGAATGCTAATAGTCTTGGACAATGGCACGTTAGTGAATAGGGAATTTACATGGAAAGAGTACACAGTGCTGCTTATTTTCTGATGTTTATATTACTAAGACAGTCAGTGAGTTGGAGAGTATCTTTAAATGAAAACCTACAGAATTCGTTTCCAACTGGATTTAACATTTTTACCAAGCATTTCGCCAGTTTATGTGTGTGTGTGTGTGTGTGTGTGTGTGTGTGTGTGTGTGTGTGTGTGTGTGTGTGTGTGTGTGTGTGTGTGTGTGTGTGTGTGGAGGAACGACACATAGACAACATAGGGTGTAAGGGATTATTAAATTTATCAATCTTAGGTAATCCATATGAATTTGGAAATTCAGATCGCATAGGTTTCAATGAATTAAATTCCTCTTTGCTAATGGCATTCATATTCAAAAGCTTTATGAGCTAAATGAGCGGTTACTTTTGCTTCAAATCTTCTAATATCTTCTGATGGGATTTCGGCTATGAATTGTCTCTCACCCCTGAGGATGGATAGCATTTCATTTTTATAGTCAGATTCATTCATCATCACAACGACACCTGATCCCTTATCGGGTTTAAGAATGATTATATCCGATTTGTTCCGTAATTCTCTCAAAGATTTGAAGTGCTATGAACTCAAAATGTTTCTTTGTCTTGTTTCTGAACTATGGAATTGGTGAGCAATATCAACTAATTTAGCCTTTAACCAACTTTGGTTATCTGAAAATGTAGGACAAGAGGGCTCAATTGGTCATATCTAGTTGAGAGATTTGCATGTATGGAACTGAAAAGTTGAATCCAAGGGAAAGCGCCTCTTTCTCATGAATTGAAAGTACAACAGAGGACACAATTAGTCACATATTCATCTGGGATGCATGGAAATGAGTTTACATGTGAATGTCATTGGAAAGGGATCTAGACAATTTTTGCCTTATTCTATCCTTCGTTTTATTGATTACGGAGCTACAAAAATTGATGAATTTAATGTGGCATATAAGAGAAATATCCGACAATACACATGAAACATGAGTATGCATTTCAGTTAAGCTGCATAACTTCTCATTGCAATTATCTATATGTGATTTCATAAGCCGAACAACATTTGAAAGGTTGGGTTGCAGTTTAAAGGATCGCAACATTATTTGTCCTAATTTCAATGTACTTTTCAGTCAAGCCTAAAAATTTGGTCAATACTGTTTTTTTTTTCTCAAACATTTTTGTCACGATAAATGCGTAGACATCTGATTGGTCAGTAATTTTCACTATGATGGAGGTCATTAATTCGTCCTTGACCTTGACGTTGTAGAGCCTAGCCAATCATTTGTACTGGGATATGCTTAAAAGTATGAATATCATATTTGAAAAAAAATTATCGCTTGTCGTTTACTTCACGTTTAGTGTTCTTGAATTTTTATTTATGAAGTTTTTTTTGGAAATACTGACAAACCCGGTTAAGTAGATTGACACTGAAATACTATATCCTTTCGGCATTAAATCGTTGGAAAAAAACTCCGATTAGATTACGATCAGTAAGGTGAATATCCGTCACATTGATTAAATTGATGCTCTTTCAGAAAGCTCTCATCAACTTAAATATATTAGGTGTTGGACACTGGTACTACCTACGTTTCTGCATGATGGTGACTATGTGAGTTGATTTCAGGCCATCCCCGGGAAGTTTTACTTAACCTAAGTTTCTTGCTTGTTAGCACTCATCAGCATGGTGTATCGATGGTGAGTAAAACCGTTACTAAAAAGCATAGGACTCTGATAACCTCGTATGAAAGGCGGCTAGAACGTTGAGCAGAACACTTTGAAGTATAGTTCAATTGATCCTCAGCAAAGCTTCATTTGTCCAACATCCAGTGTGGACCTGAATGGGACGTAGATCTCGGTCCTTCAACTCTCATTGAAGTTGAGAAGACCCCATCGAACTCGGAAGGATGGAAAGCAGCAGGACCTGACAGTTTTCCACCTGAGGTTTTCAAGGATGGAGGTAGGAGATGGCTAGTTAGGAATCAGAGGTAGCGCCGTCATACTGGTCTATTTCACTGATCATTCCACTCTGTAAGAAGGGTGAGAAATCTTCTTGTGACGGCCACGGGAGAATTAGCTTGACTAATATTGTGTCCGAGACTCTAGGGTCCTTAGATATCTGACACCTAACTGAAGCTCGAGAAAACAAGGCAGGTTTCAGATAGAGTTTGACGAGGGTGCACCGATCATATTTTCACTGCCCGACAGATTCTGGAATACAGTCAACACTTACCATATTTCTTGATCTGAAGGCGGTGTTTGACTCTGCGACAGTGTCTAACTGTTAAGGGAGTTCAAAGCAAGTATATAATGCTTATCGAAGTTGCCTATTCGAATTCACGCAACCATGTAAGAGATTATGGAGGGTTGTCGAATGAAGTGACAAGAACTAGTAGTATCCGCCATGGATGCCCACTATCACCGTCCCTACATAACTTCGTCATAGACATACTAATGGACATAACTTTGGATACATCTGACTTCACCGGAGTTGATTTACTCCCTGGAGGTCATCTAGGTGACTTGGAATATGGAGGCGATATTGTCCAACTAGACGAAGACAATGAATAAACACAGGGTCTTCTGAAGGCGATTAGCAGAAATCTGAGTATGTTTGGCATGTGTTTCACACCTGTCAAATGTAACATGATGGATGCTCCTGGACTGGACTGCTGCCCAAACTTCCAGTTAAATGATA